AGACTTACAAGTTGTTGTGCTTGGCTTTCATTTATACAGTGATCGAGTACCCATTCCACCACCAGTGCCCATTCTCCACCCCCACCAATCCCAGTATCCCTCCCACCTCCCACCTCCCATCCCACCCTGCCTCTGTGGCAGGGCACTCCCTTTTGTTCTATCTCTTCTTTTGGGTGCTGTGGTCTGCAGAAGAGACATTGGGTGGCAATCACATTCGAGGACATATTTTTTTGATGCAGGACCAGAAAGAATGAGAGATAAGATTTTTGTCTAAAGACATCTCCTAAAATGTCGCTGAGAATGGTTTTAGACCATCAGTCCTACGTTTCTTCTTCCCTTACTAGAACTTATGTCAAAACTCTGTGATCCTGGAAGATCCATGGGAAATGCAGTAGTTGAAGGAAAGTGAGCAGGAACTTTATTGATTTTAATTTCAGTACACTGACTTGGAATCACGAGGAGAAGAGCACATAAGGGGGTCCTATGTGTTTTATTCCAGCAGTAAGCTGCTTTTTACTGATTTTCAAAATGAGCTATTAAAGGCAGATATGCCCAGTATCAATGCTTTAATGTTTTTTGAAACATGGGGGTAACCCAGAGTTTAGGGATCTACAGGGAACAGAGAAGCTGATTGTTGACCTTGGTCAGGCCAAAGTCCAATGAGAAACTAGCAGTTGTGACCATGAGTTAATTCTTCCTTTTGCTTGGTGCTGGGTGGCATTTTCTTTTTCCCCACCAGGATTTAAACTGTTGCCAGAATTTAGTGCTAAAAAAATAAAGGTGTTACCCCAAGAATAGTAAAGATAAAGACAAGGATATTTAGTCCACAGCTTGGAGGCCTCACATGTTGGGGGAAAGGGCAGCTCAGATCGAGAAGGAAACATCAAGTAAAGGGTGTTTGGAAGACCCTCTCAGTTTGGGAGATGCATGCCGAATGTAGACTATAGATTGAACATGATGGCCACTCAATGCCTCTATTGCAAACTACAACACCCAAAAGGAAAGAGAACAAAAAGGGATTCCCTGACACAGAGGCGGTGTGGGGTTTGGGGGGGGGGGGGGGATGTGTTGGAGTGGTAGGAGGAATACTAGGATCATTGGTGGTGGAGAATGGGCACTGGTGGAGGGATGGGTACTCAACCATTATATGAATGAAATGTAAGCATGAAAGTTTGTAAGTATATAACTGTACCTCACGGTGATTTACTAATAAAATTATATATGTGTATATATATAAATAAACCTAAAATAAAAGAATAAAAGTGTTATGTTTCTATGCAGGTTTTTGAGTAAAGTTAAGCTTTATTTCTCCTGTATAAATACCAAACAGCACTGTTCTTGATATCAAAATATGATACCATGCTAAGATTAGCACATGATAAATTTGTATTTACTGCACCAAACTGCAAAGCTGCCTTTGCAAGGTGGCTGTACCATCTTATATTTTCAACATCAGTGATTGAGATTTCAATTCTACACTTGGTTGTGTTATTTTGTTTTAATATAAACTCTCAATAGGCAGAGAGAGGTAACTCAGATTTTTATTAGCATTTCTTTAATTCAGGCTATCTTGAATACATTTTTATGTGCTAATTTGTCATCTACACATCTTCTTCAATTTTATATTAAGAGATGCAAATTCGATGATTCAAAACCCACTTTCAACTTATGTATTACTCTTATTTTGAGTTTTCAGGATTTAATATAGCTAGATATAGGTTCTCACCACATCTTTACCAACAGTTTGATTCTTCTCCAGACCAGCAGCTCTAAACCATGTGAGGTGACATCTGCTTGTGTCATTTGATCAGAATCTTGCTGTTAATGAATGACAGGAGCATTTTCATGCACCTGTTGGCCATCTGCATGTCTTTGAGACTGTGGGGAGCTAATTCCCTGACCTGACACAGAGGAGGAATATGCCTCACTGCTGATCCTCACACCAGACCTTTCTACCTTTCTACCTTTTCTACCTTTCTACCTTTTGCTATTTCTTTCCATCTTCCTGACCTCCTTTGCCTATAGCTGTAGGATTTCTTATGGCTGGAGATTCTATTCTATTTCTTTTATTTCAGACCCTCTTTGACCCATGATAATAGCTATGGGTCATGACCTTTAGTGAAAGGGATTGGCAATAGGGAAATTGTGGTACAGCCGATTTAGGAAGTATATTTTTGTGATAAAATTGTTTTTCTCATAAAGCTTTCAGAAAAATGAGATTCTGATATTTTACTTTAAAGGTACACATAACCAAGAAAAATATAGAACAACTCGAAGTTGTGAAACTCTTCACAGACATGCTTTCTGCCTCATCAGTACTTTGGCCATAGTTATATCTGTGGTTATACTTTCTGTTAATTTGACAGGTATTTACTTGCTTTACAAACTATAATTTTCTCCATATATTGTTATGATCATACATAAATATCCCTTCGAGTCCTATTTTATGCCAGAAACTGTGCAAAGTGTGTGGGGCATATTGGCGAATGGAACATAAAAATTCCTTCTTCCAATATTCCAGAAGGAAGTATAGCTGTCATTATAAATTAAAGTACAGGGTAGGGAAACAAGCTGCAATGCACATAGGAGTGACACATACTTTTCAGTAGGAATCTCTCCCTTTCAGCAAACTTTTGAAGGAGATGAAGGTAGCGTACTGATGCTTGGGGAAAACTACTCAGGCACAGAAAACAATAGAGCAAAATTCCCAAAGAAGGAATATCCCTAGTGCTTTGAATAAGAGCAGGAGATTGCTGGGTTAGGACAAATTGAGACCAAGTAAGAATCATGGGATGGATCCAGCAGGCCTTGGTAGTGACATCAAGACTTTGGGTTAAACTTTGATTAGAGCAGGGAAGGTCATGAAAGGAGAGTTGTAAAGAAGAATGTCATGGCTCCAAGACTTGCATTGGAAAATGATCATTTTTGCTACTGAGAAATAATTGTTAGAAGAGAAGGGGAGAATCAAGGAGAACTACTCGGGTGATCTTGTAGAAATCTAGGTGAGGGATGGTGATAACTTAAATCTGATGAGCGCAGTGCGGGGTGTGGTAGGGTAGTGGGTTCTGGATACTTTGAATGTTGGAGTCACAGTATTTTATAACAGACTGCCTATGAAGATTTGCAAAAAGAGACCCCTACTAACTCTAAGTATTTTCTGCTGAACCATGGCAAGAAATGATAAGAGAAAGCTTTATCAAGGTTTATCAAGCTTACCCTTACAAGCTTATCCTGATAAGAGAAAGCTTTATCAAGGGGTTTTTATCTTTGGATCTGTTTCTTGCACAGAGAATGTTGAAAAGTACAATACCATATGCCTTGCAAAAAATTCTTTGTATGTGGAATTGGTCAGAAATAAATGACTTTTTGGCATTAATAAATAATTATTTCATCTATTCGGATTTTTTTATTTTTAATCAGGTCTTTTTCCAACCACTCATAATGTGACCCAGACATTTTTTTATTTCTTATTTTGGCTGGGGTGAGGAGCAAGGGAAGAGGACATGCAAGCTGGGGATTCAAGTGAGGGTCTCATATAAACAAGGCATGTTCTGAGCCTATCTTAAAGAATTTGTTAAATCTAATAACAACTAACAATTTTTACTGAAGTTTAATTTGTTGCTAATTATATAGTTCCTAGAATTATAGTCCTTAGAATATTTGTAAATGTCAATTAAAAATGGTCTTGTGATACTGTTCTTTTTAAGTTTCTCTATTTAGAATCTGAATTCTCTTGATAACTACCACTGTTCATTTGAGATAACACAAGCACGAAATGTCCATAATTTTATATTTCTACTTGAGTTTTATCACAGTGTAATATGTAAAATCCCCAATCCCAGGTCTACCAATGTGTTTTTATTATTCAGCATAATTTAAAGTATAAGTGATTCTGCCTAATAATTTAGCGGGGTGTATTTTGTTTGGGGGTGACACACCTGGTTATGGCGAGGGCTTACACCTGACTCTTTGCACATGGGTATCTCTTGGTTGAGCTTGTAGACTTTATGAGCTTCCAGAGATCAAGTCCTGGTTGTGTATGTAAAGTCAGAACCCTACCCACTATACTATTGCTCTAGGGCTCTTGCTTCATTCTTTTTTAAAGAAACAGTGATACTGATCTCGACACACATGTGCTCTCAGCTCTCTAAAATAAGCTCTCTAGGGTTAAAGATTGAGAAAAATGTAAGAGATTATTTTTCTTTAAATGTGGGGAAATTAAAATCATCATTGGTGCTAAATATATTTTGATACTATTATTTTTTCTTTCACTGGTCCTACAGAACAATGTTATTTTAGCATCTAAAGGAGAGCAAGAAATTCAGAAAGAATGTGAAATGAGAATAGTTGATTCTTCCTACACCTTACTCTGAAATATTATTTCAGAATATTTAAGAAGAGCCAACAATGTTTTATTCATTTTTTTAAAAGCACATATAAAATAAAAAGGTAAAAATGTAGAAAGCCCTGAATTGTATTTTTGTTAACAGAATAATATTTGGGTTGTTATTTTTGTCCAGAGAAAGCTTTTATAGCTCCTGAGTATGCACCATAGTAAAATTCAGGATATGAGATATGTGAAGAGGAAGAGGAGCTAATATTAAGGGAAATATAAATCTATATGATATACTAGGAATATCATATACTTACTCTTTGCAGAAATTAGCATTATCTATAAGAAGTACCATGGACTTGGTGCTTTATAAATTTATTATCCCTAAATCATTAATATCAATGTACACCTTGTAAAATGAGATGCATAGATATCCCCGACCAGGGAATAGTTGACTATTGTACTTAGGATAAAACTTTCTGATGAGTTAGAAAATTACAATTACCAGTCTATAATGTTAGCAGTAACCTTCGGATGATAAGTGAGAAAATAGATTAAAATAATAAGAAAATATATTTATTATGTTTTCTGTGATTATCCAAATTTTAGTAAGAAAGGAAAGAGCAGTCTCGGCAGAAATACAAGTCTCAAAACTGCATGAGCATCCCGCATGCCCACCAATGTGGATTGGATTTGGAAACAAGTGCTTTTATTTTTCTGAAGAAACAGGGAACTGGACATTCAGCCAGACTTTCTGTGACTTACTGGAAGCTCATCTTGTGCAGATTGACACCTCAGATGAATTGGTAAATATTGTTCCGAGGCACCAGGCAGACAGTACAAGTGTGAAAACACATGCCTGTCATATTCAGGGCCCTGAGTTCAGCTGCCAGCACCACATGCCAAACACCCCAGGGTCCGCATGTCACCCTGCTTGCCCTAGCACTGCTGGTGCACACTGGACTGAGCTTTGCATGAAGTGGCCCCGTCCAATTTCTCCCAATTCTCCAGCATATAATACAAATTTTTAAAAGCATATCATCTGTTGAAAAGGGAGCTTCACGCAGAGGGTGGGGGGCTGCACCAGGCTAATGCTGAAAGATAACGATGTCCTCAATTCAATCTGGAGCACAGGGCACAGACAAGCTTCTGACATATGTTGAATTCTCTGCCTAGAACCCAGTGAGACATGTCAGATACGTTCTCTCATGTGATCCTCATAGTCGACCTAGAAGCTTAGATGAACTGTTCCCTGTGTAGAGAATTATTGTATTCACATAATTTTTCATTCAAATTATGGGAGTTACAGTGTTCACAATATACTAAAACAATAGGCACAAAGAGACTTTGCCACTAACATTGGGAGAAATGATTCTTTTAAACAAAGAGGTTTGGGAGCAGAGACAGAGAATAATGATTCAGGATAAGAAAAGGGTAGAGAATAACTTTTTCAATTATACCCTGCTGTCATCCCCAGTAGAAGACTGCAGGAAATACCGACTCAGGAGTGGTAAATGAGAAAGATGCATTTTTTCACTTTTTGTTCTTTATAATAGAAATTTCTGAAAAGATACAAAGGCCCTTACGACCACTGGATAGGCCTTAGCAGAGAATCGCCAAGTCACTCTTGGAAATGGACAAATAATACTGGAGGCAACACTGTGTATGTATTGAGACTTTTTTCCTTTTGCCATGATGACTTAGGGTGTTTATAAAACATAACTTTAATATAGAAAACCTATAGTACTGTAAAAGAAATAGAACTTCTTTCTATGCCTTTCCATTTACTAGCCAGTTCCTTGAAAACTCAATTCATTGTCATTTTAGATTAAATATTTAATATGATAATGCCATGTGTATGTTCTTATACTTTAATATCATGATTCAGATGTTTTTCTGATGAAATATTGGTTTAGAAGGCATAAAAAGCTGCTGGTATGCAGTGGAAAAGAGGTGGGGGAAGTATTCTAAAATCCTAGAAAATCACTGATAATTTGATCCCTATAAAACCTTCAAAAATCCATTTTCCAGTTGCTGCATCCATTCACAAAAGTAAGGAATAAAGGTTCAAAGAGAACCTGTGGAAATCTCTCTGGGAGATTTACCAGTAGAAACTGTAGCTCCCTGTGTTGTCGACAGTTCAATCAGGTCATTGGAGATGTATAAAATATAAAGGCCTGATCACTTTCATCAAAATAAAGCTCTTTAGCACATTGCTAATAACTATTTTTATCTTATACATTTATGAAGTAGTTAGTGAGAAGAATGAGAATGATTTTCACTGATGCAACATGACAAAATACATAAAGTGACTAGATCAACAATATAACTAGATTTGTATTGGGTGAATCATATAGTTGGTGGTGTTCAAACATGTGTCTTGAAAATGTAAAGAAAAACTAAATATAAAAATGTTGTTTATTACTAATAAGTCACATAAGTGATTTTTTTTTTACTTCGATAGCACAGTGGGTAAGGCGTTTGCCATGCACGTGGCTGACCTGGTCAGCCCTGTTTCGATTCCTCCGCCCCTCTTGGAGAGCCCAGCAAGCTACCGAGAGTATCTCGCCCGCACGGCAAAGCCTGGCAAGCTACCCGTGAAGTATTCGATCTGCCAAACACAGTAACAACAAGTCTCACAATGGAGACGTTACTGGGCCTGCATGAGCAAATCAATGAACAACTGGAGGACAGTGCTACAGAGCTTCTTCTATTGAAAAAAGTTGACTAGAGGTATTACAGATGACATGGAGGAATGAATGCAAGATGTTTAGTGTACAAATAATTGTTTTGTTTTGTTTTAGGTTTCAGGTCAAAGGAACTGGGGAATGTGCCTACTTGAATGACAATGGCCTGAGCAGTGCCAGGATTTACTCGGACAAAAAATGGATTTGCAGCAAACCCAATGTATCCATCTGTCAAATTGCTTCAAACTCATGAGTAGAAAAGCTGCATTGTGCTTGTTATCTACTGTTGGGTAACATTGCTTTGTCCTTCAAGAAGCTTAGGTTTTATCTGGTTACACCCATTAATCTGGTTATACCCATCAATCTGGTTACACCCACCACAGTTCTCCAGAGGCACTTCCACTTCCATTGTGTTTACATGTAAACCTGTAAACAGTCTTCCCTATGCTCTCCTTCCCACCCAGTTAATCAGCTTTCCCCTTAATCAGACTTTGTTAATTTGTAAGATCAGTTTCCCAGAAATCTATGATTTTATATTTATGAGTGAAATATTGCCTTTCTCCTCTCCCTATGCCTTATGAATAGTTTACCTTAAAGTAATATCCTTTTTGTATAGATACAGGAAGACCGTTAACATTATGCTTTGTAATTTAGGATTTGATTGGCCTTGAATATTATTCACTCCCGGGCATCTTTCTCGACTTAAGCCTCAGTTGCCCTTAGTTCCTAACACCCCAAAAGCAGGGTCCCGACGAGGGACTGAATGGACCCAGGGCAAGCAGTGAGCTACTGGGGGCAGAGATAGAGAGACAGATGAGGAGAGAATCAGAATAAACTACGATTAATACCTACCAGCCTGGCCCTCATTCCTTCCTCTGCCTGACCATCGCCATCGACCTCTCCGGGGTGGGAGAAGGGTGAGACTACCGAATGCGGGTGGCGGGAGAGATAGAGCCACCGCCGCTGTGGGTGCCGAGCCCCCATTTTGCGTGAGTTTACACAATCTACAGTTGCTGAATGTTTTTCTCAAAGTGTTGACCTAAAAATGTGTAATATCAGTTGACAGCAAAGATGAAAACTGAGTCAGAGAGAATTGCAGGGAGCCTTTCCCCACCAAAAAGAAACAGAGATTTGTGACAAGTTGATTCTAAATTAAATAGACCTTTAGGTACAAATTAATACTTATAACTTGAACCCAGAGAAAGAAGTCAACATCAAGAACTCCACCTCTAGATTATACATAAAACTTTCCCTGCATAGACTGTTATTTTCCTTACAAACACTGGACAGAAAATGACTATTTGAAAAACCAGACATGGTGTTTCACTAATAAAAAAAAAATTTTTAAAAAAAGAAATGTGAGGCTTTTATCTTTATAAAAAATATTTTATTTTTTATAAAATTTTTTTTGGCTTTTGCTGTTCATACCATAACTAAGTATTCATTGTTGTATTCAAGGTTATATATACCTGTTTTTTCTACTAAGAGTATTTTTTTATACCTTAACTTAATTTTTTAATTGGGTCGCCATGAGATACAAAGTTACAAAGTTGTTCATGATTAGGTTTTAGTCATACAATGTTCCAATAGATGTCTCTTTACCAGTGTACATTTCCCATCACCTACTAACCAGTTTCCCTCCTGCCTTCACCCCTCACCCCACATGCTCCTATGGTAGGCACTTCTGTCTCTCTCTGCCTCTCTTTTTTCTCCTCTCTCTTCTCTTTCTTCTCTCCTCTCTCTTCTCTCTCTCTCTCTCTCTCTCTCTCTCTCTCTCTCTCTTTTTGGATATTTTGAGTATTATGGTTTGCAATACAGATACTGAAAGGTTATCATGTATTTATCCCTTTTCATACTTTCAGCACTCAGTTCTTGTCCAGAGTGATCTTTTCCAACTACTAATATCATAGTAGTCCCTTTTTTATTCTAATTTACCTCCCCGCATACTTGTGGCATGCTTCCAAACGTGACCAGTCCTCCTGGCCCCTGTTTTGTTCTATCCTTAGATATTAGTCTCATACTACTTTCCTCTATTCTAAGAAATGCAAAGTTTAAGAAGAGCACTCCCAGAACGAACACCAACTGGGAGCTCTTTGGCTCTGTTGCGGCAATATGGGAAGATGCCGTCATTGACAACATTGATGAAGAATACAATCGACTGGTTCAGCACCTCCCTGATTGTGCGAGGAACACCAAGAGAGAGATAACCACAAAAAGTGCTTGTCTTCAAAAACTCTTGAGCTTATTCACCAACGTGGTTTGGTGCATGCCTCAGGCAACCGCAAGCGAACAGCAGAGCTCACAAAGCCGTGCAGAGAAGCAATCAAGGAAGACCTCAAAGACAGAAGAGCAGCCGTGCTGGTAGATGAGGCAGAAGCCAGGAATAGCATTTGTAATGCCTGCCTGTCCTTCACCAACTACAAGACCAAGATGACTACCCATCCGAAGTCCTGATGAATCTCTCACATCTTCCAGAAGGGCAGTGGAGAACATTATTTATGACTTCTACTCAGATCTCTTTAATAGCCACGTCCACTTGCCCACATACAAATTCCACAGGATGGATATGTCGTTCCCAACATTCTCCCTTCCGAAATCCGACACACCATCTCGTCAGTAAAGAAACAAAGAGCACCTGGCCCAGACAAGGTCAGACCTGAACACCTGAAGAACCTGCTGTCAGTACTCATCAATATGTTGGCTCGGCTCTTCACACGCTATCTGTCTGAATGCAAGGTTCCATCCCAATGAAAAACTAGCAGGACTGTACTGCTGTACAAGAAGGGATATATCCACGACATTGGCAACAATCGCCTGATTTGCCTGTTGTCTGTCATCGACAAGCTGTTCACTCGAATCATCCTGAATAAGTTTGGCAAAACTCTAGATGAAGAACAACCATGTAAGCAAGCCGGGTTCCGCAAAGGATTCAGCACCATCGACCATATCCACATGATAACCAAGCTCATTGAGGTTTCTCGGGAGTTCAAGATGCTGCTCTGTCTAACGTTCATTGATTTAAAGAAGGCCTTTGATTCTGTTGAGACAGAAGCAATCATCGAAGCCCTAGCTAATCAGGGCGTTCAAACTCAATACATCAGGATCCATTGTGAGCTGTATTATGGATTCACTACAAGGATCGAATACACCATGGGAAGTTTGCCAGGCTCTGCTGTGCTGACAAATACTCTCCGCAGCTTTCTGGGCTCTCCAAGATGTGCAGAAGGAATCAAACAAGGGTCGACCACATGAAAGGCAAACACACTACCCGCTGTGCTATCACTCTAGCCCAAATAATTGTACATTGATATTATATTATCTTCTACAATAAGATGCCCAGTATTTTTACTTTATTTTGGTGGGGGCTGAGCCACACCCAGTGGTGCTCAAGGCTCTGTGTCCAGTGGTTACTCCCAGTGAGGTGCAGGGAATCATATGTGGTTACTGGTTTTGCCCAATGGCATCTGCTCATTCTAGGAACACGAAGAGCCTCAAACTGATCGTTCAAGGTTTTGACAAAGAAGTCTGACCATCTCGTAGGTGGGAGACCACGTGATCTTTTGATGTTCCGTGGAATCCAGTTGTTAATGGCTCTAGTCCACCAGTCGTCTCTAAATTTTGGCTGCTGGGAGTATCTGTCACCACCTGCAGAGCCTGGCAAGCTCCCCATGGTGTGTTCAATATGCCAAAAACAGTAACAACAAGTCTCACAATGGAGAAGTTATTGGTGCCAGCTCGAGCAAATCAATAAACAATGGGAGGACAGTGCTACAGTGTTAGAAGAGAAGGGGAGAGTCAATTGAAACCTACTTGGGTGATCTTGTTGAAACCTATGTGAGAAATGGTGAACGCTTAGACCTGATGAGCGCAGTGTGGGTGTTGCAGGGTGGTTGTGCTCTGGATACACTGAATGTTGGAGCCACCATATTTTATAACAGCTTGCATATGAATATTTGCAAAAAGAGACTCCTGTGTA